ACACATTTCTTTTGTTGAGAAAGTTTCCTGACTTGTTCAGTCTCTCATTGGGCATCCAGCTAATTGCAACTGCTGTGGGTCTTTTTCATTTACCATGACAGAGGGAAAACGTGAGTGAATCTCAATGACAGGGGATGCTTTGCTTAGACAACACATTGTTTATTACATGGCAGCAATCAGGTGCAAATTAAAAATATATACATTGTTACTAAGGTTATTAGAGGCTCTTGTGGCACTGTGGTATTATCCCTACCTTAGAGGTGGGAGGCCCCAGCCCAAGTCCCACCTGCTCGAGAGGTGTGTCTTAACAAATTGCAATACTATGTTTTTTCTTTAAATTAACCTATTTTTCTAATCAGCCTGTTCAGAGATATTATTACACACCTCTGGAGCAGGTGGGATTTGAACCTGGGCCTCCTGCTGCAGGAATAGGGACACTGCCACTGCACCACAAGAGGGCCCTTTCAAAGAGAGCATCCCCTGGTAGGTTTTGAACCACGAACCTTTCAGGTAACAGCTGAAGGTACTGACCAATTGTGCCATGGAGACTGTCCCGCTCAGTTCTATGAGCAGAGACAATTAACAGGCTCCACATGTTTCTCTCAACAAAGATACTAACAAATTCAATAACTTCTTAACAAATTAATCATTTAGGGATTTTGTGGTGCAGTGGTAGTGTCCCTACCTTCAGGAAGCCCAGGTTTAAGTCCCACCTGCTGCAGAAGTGTGTAATACATTGCTGAACATGTGATTTGAGAAAGAACAAATTTAATCATGTATGGCCAAACATTAAAAATAGAGGAATAATGTCTTTCTGCTAAGTTTCTTGGCTTTGGTTTTGGGGAAATGACCCCCTCAGTAAACTGTGAAAACTGATGCTGTGATGGGAAGGTTGTTGTTGAGGTAGTATTGACAGGAGTTGTGTATCGTGGCCACATGGACGGTCAGATACAGCTGAACTCATCAGGAGTTGCCCACAAGTTTGGACTCATGAAGGGCAATTACCCAGTTATTTAGAGTTTGGAAACTCTAAGTTAGAGACCTTGGAGGATTCCAGCTGACTTCACTCAACAGTTAACTGGCAAAAGTTACTGGGATTCAAACCTGCTCAAACTCCTAGATAACCATGAAACTGACCCCACCTCACCAACCACAAACTCTGCCCTTGTCACACCCCACCTTCTGATTCCTGGCTGAATCCACACAGCTCAGCCTTACACAACCTCCCAGCCCTGTTCCGCTGAACCTGATCCCCAATTCCCAACTCCCTTCCCCCAAACTAGACCCCATCCTTTGGGGTGACTCAACCTCCAACTCCCTTCAATCCCCCATTTTACTCCAAGATCTCCAGGACCACTTCCCAACTGGACCCATCCTGACTCACTCCAAGCACTCACTCGCTTGCTACTGTCTCAGCAACCTGATAACCGAGCCTCACACCCACCTGGTACCCCAGCTTCAGAGCCTGCTGGAACTCTAGCCTCACACCCACCTGGTACTCTAGCCTCACACCCACCTGG